TTATCGCTAGAGTCATAACTTCAAATGTTATTACAAACTGATTTTTGAAATCTATCCGCCACCTTCGTTTTAATGTTGGTGGTAATTAGCTCATAATTTAGCATCATCATATCCTAACTACCTAAATACTCTAAATTTTCCGACTTTTATTGATTTATTGTTATTAATGTGTTTTTTACTTTGGACAGCCAAGAGAAGTGCAATAAAAACCTGATTTGCATTATATGGCCCCATGATATTTATGTATGGAATTGTGTGTACTCTGAAGACGGAAGTGGCTCTTATTTTTCGTTAGCGTAGCTAAGTTCCCTTTTATGGTAATTATGATGCAACAATGGCTGTGAAGCAAAGGTTAAGATTTTAAGATGTAACGGCTTGTTGATCTTTTCAAATGAATTTTTACTTTTATTTTGGTTATTTACACTTTGGGGTCACAGCGAAACTTGGAGTTACCTGACTTTCTTTCAAATGTCTACATATGTATATTTGTATGTATTTCTGTACTTATTCAACCATGTGGAACATTTTTTAACGGCAATAAATAACACTGGTGTACAGAAACTAGCAACGAAAATCTGCTATAAAAAATTTTAATTTTTTATTCTGAAAAATGTATGTACTTTTTATACACTCAGCCACATGACTACAGAGGGTATATATCATTTGATATGGCCAAAACGTGTCTCATCGAAATAACGGTTTTAGACCCTAGGTCTCTTTGGACCAAATCCGTTTCAGGATGGCACGATAACTCTCGAAAGGAGTATCCGATTTGCTCCAAACTTGGTATATCGGAGATAAATAATTTCGGCCCACTCCCTCTGGTACCTCTCCCACAAAGGGTCAAAAAAAAAAAAAAGGATTTTATTGCACAGAAAGAGAAAGGATTATCCGCAGAAAGAATTATTGCAAATCCCAATATTTTTGCCAGTGTTAGGTCAGTGGCGAAAATGGACAATTTCGGTTCACTCCATCAATTTCCTCCCACACAAAGGGTAACATTTTTGAATAATTATAACTCTTTTAAAATTTGATGTAAGAATCTAATTGTCTTCAAATTATAAACATTACAATATGTATGAAGATGGAATATATCGGTCCACTTCTTCTGGTACTTCCCCCACCAGGGGTCAAAGTTTTGAATAACCAAAACGATTATAATATCCGAAATAACCATCTGGTTTTCTTCAAATTTTACACATCCCATTATTTGTACTAACTTAAGTTCTGCTGTGAAGATGGTAGAGATCGGACAGTTCCTTCTGGTGCCTCCCCCTACAAAGGGCCAACATTTTCAATATCCATGAACGTCATAAAACGCGAAATTAACAACCGATTTCATTCAGACTTGCTGCATCTCAATAATTCTATCAACACAAGATCTTGCTAGTCAACATTTTGAATATCCATGAAGTTCATGGAACGCGAAATTGAAATCCGATTCCATTCAGACTTGGTACATCTCAATATTTCCATCAAAACAAGATCTGTTATAAATATGGTAGGGATCGGACCATTTCTTCTGGTACCTTCCCCACATAAGGCTCAAGATCACCATCCAACTCTCTTCAAGTTTCCCACATGCAAACATTTTTGGTAACACAAGATCTGTTATGAAGATGAGATATATCTGCAAACCCCTTCTTGTACCTTAGCCACAAAGGATCACAACTTTCAATAATTTTATCTATCATAACTTCGAAACAAGTCAGCGATTTTTTACAACTAAATATTTCTCTCAACCCGAAACCGGAGACGAATATGTAATTTATAATTTGTCTTAAAAATAATGGAATCGTTTTATTAAAATATGTCTTTTAATAATTTCTCTTATTTCTCGTACTAGAATATTACAAAATAAATCCCCTTTTCTATCTTTTCCGATAGATTTCATTTGACTCCAAACCAGAACACCAAAAAAATTCCCTCGAACATCATACCCCAATGTCTTCCTTTAAATGGAAGTTAGTAGTCAGTGTTCCCATTTGGGAAATTCCCGAAAACTTTTCAAAAGAACAATGGGTGGCAAATGAATTACTTATTTGGAATACAATGAACTTTAAGGCTGTCTCTTGTCCTTAGACATTAAACCGAAAACAAATATCATATTTATGGCCAGACAAAATATTGTCATAATTTTAAATTACAAATAGTTACTTTCCCTTTGCTCCTACTTCCCACTTTGCCCCTTCTCTAGCTACTTTAATAGAGATTTTTTTTTGCCAAATTATTACTGAATATCGTATCGTTAAAATTGTCCATCAAAAATAATTCCCATAGATGAATGAGTGGAATTTATCACATCTCTGTGATAAGTGATCCTAATTGGTTGATTATTTGTATTTGAACTGCCAGAGCGGGTTGGTATCCTGCTGGGTTAAGTAACCACTTTATTGTTGTTTGTTATGTTGTTGATTTGCTCCCTCGTTCTCGTTCTCTCTCCCTCTCTCACTTTCGTTCATCCATTTTGTCATTTCAATGAAATGTAAATTCTATAGTCTAAGGTCACAACAAACTGTGGGATATCAGAATCCTGTATCGTAGCAAAATAAATGGGAAAGACCGAGTACCTTCCAAGAAGAACACATATTTTGTTGGTATTGGATGTTTATATATTTTGCTGGGAGTGAAGTCTGAGAAAAAAAGGCAAACAAATGAGATCAACGGTAGTGGAGAATATCACAGAACCCTATTGAATGCAGTGATAAGTTCGTCATTCCGTTGTAACTCATCGAAATAATAATTTTAGATCAAACTAAGTATTTATATTCTTGATCAGCGTAAAAATATAAGGCGAATATGACGGTACCCCCGATATTCGGTATTTTGATGATTGTAGCCAACTTTTTCAATGGAATTGTCTGAAAGTCTACATAAGGAGTTCCTTCTGAGTATTTTACCCCCTGGAAGAGTGTTGTCTATATGGGTTCACGATATCATACAGGGTGATATAAAAAACTTCAACAAAGCCAAATTTTAGAATAAGTTCAGATTTGTTCGAATTGGTCACTTTTGGCACGAATTATGGCCTTCAAACGGCCAATGAAACCGTCACACGCTGCCCAATTGTTGCTCTGCGGTATTTTAGCCCATTCCCGGCGAAGCGCTTGCTTGAGGTGATCAAGACTTAGGTATAATTTAGTGCCAACCTTGCTTTCCAAAATACTCCAGAGACAATAGACCAACGGATTGGTATTCGGAGATTTTGGTGGCAATTGTGCGCTGGAAATGAAGTGAGGAACCTCATTTTGTAACCATTCTTGGGTGGCGCGTGCTGAGTGCGATGGTCCTGTTGGAATGTCCAAAGTCTGCGGCCAAAATGATTGCGTGCCCAAGGCTTTAATACACCCTCCAGAATATTTTCGCGATAATATTCGGCATTTATTCTGATGCCACAGTCGATTAATACGAATGGATAACGACCATCGGCTGTTATGGCGGCCCACACCATCACCATGGCCAGCGCTTGAGTTCTGCTGGCCAACCGGTGCACTGGTGCACATTTTCGGCTGACCTCTTTGCAAGTAAACACGAACATTTTGATTGTTTACAAACTGCTGGACAACGAATGTTTTTTCATCGGAGAAAACAAAATTCGGCAGTTCAGCACTTTCGGCCAAGCGAAGCAACTCTTTAGCTCTTTTGAGTCTATTTTCTTTCGGTTGCGGTGTATGTTCTTACACTTTTTGGAATTTGAATGGCTTTACCCCGAGCTCATTTTTCAATATTTGCCGAATGGAATATTGCGATATGTTCAGCGTAAAAATATATGTCCGTCCGTCCGTCCCCTACACAAATGTTGATGAATTTTGCAACAGTTTGATGCATTTGCGACACTTTTTTACCGGAATTGTTTCAAATTTCGTATTTAAAGTTCGTAATGGGTAATGCAGCGTATGACAAGCAAGTTAAAAAGCAGTAAGTTCGGCCGGGCCGAACTTTGAATACCCTCCACCATTTGGAACGAATTTGGAAATTTTAAATTTTAAAAAATTCTGTTAAATTATAAAAATACCGAATATAGCCATTATATTGGGGTCTATACGACGTGGACCTACATAGGCATTGTTTGCTATTAGCCATTACCATATTTAAATTCGAAACTTGAAATAAACGGTGAATAATATAGCTAAAATCATCAAAATATCGTATATAGGGAGGTACCGTTATATAGGAGCTGTGCGAAGACCTGGACCAGCATAGACAATTTTCTGTCACAGGCTATAGCATCCATTATTAACGTCAAATACGATATCTCAAACAATTTCGGTGGGTTTTGTACCTAAACTCGTCAAAATACTGAATATAGGGAGGTAGTGATATATGGGGTCTATACGAAGACCTGGACCTGCATAGACATTTTTCTGTCACAGACTATACATTACGAACTCTAAATACGTAATTTGAAACAATTCCGGTGAATAATGTCGTTAAAATCATGAAAATACCGAATATAGGGAGGTAGCGTTATATGGGGGCTATACGAACTTAACCTGCCTACTGGAAAAATAAACACGTGTGCAAAATTTTGGCCTTCTATCTCTATTCGTTCAAAAGATAGAGTGATTACAACAGATAGACGGACAGACAGACAGCCGGACGGACATGGCTAAATCGACTTAGAATTTTATGCTGATCAAGAATATATATACTTTGTTGGGTCTGACATGAGTATTTCGAGGAGTTACAAACGGAATGACAAAGTTAATATACCCTCCATAGCAGAGAAAGATTCAAACTTCTTCCACCCAGCTTTAAACTGACTGACTGTTAAACCCTACCAACCATCTAAGCTGTAGCGCAAAAGCAAATTATTTTGTTATTGTTGTTGTTGTATTTCAGTGTATTTTATTTTTTTCCATTGCATTCAAATTCCGCAGAATGAGAAACAAAATTTAACGAAACTCATACAAAAAATAAGTTCCACATAAACTCAAAATTAAACTCTTCAAATTTTTCTTGGTATACTTTCAGGCAGTGAACGGCTTTGCATTTAAAAAAAACAAACCAAAGCTTTAATTCCCTCAATAGGCAATGCGGTAGTGTGAAACTTCAGCAGGTGTGGCATAAGTCAGCTAAACAGCAACAAGGTAAGTTTGAATTAGTTTAAGTTTATAAAATCAGACAAACTACTTACATATTTTGCGGCATAGGCATAGGGCAAGTGTTGGACCGTGGTCACGGCTGCCGGTATTACAGCCGAGGTGGCTATTAGTGGTGCTGCGGCTGCATAGACTGGCGATATGGCCTCAACATAACTGGCATGTTTTGTATTGGCTGGGGCCTCGGCTGGCTGGGGATGTATTTCTGCCAGCAGCGGTGTTGAAATCGACAATGCCATGGTGAGGCTTATGAAGGCTAGGATCAAAATCTGAAAAATTTAATTTAAAAATTCGCATAAAGGATTTTGAAAAAGTTTTTCTCTGAGCTTACAAATTTCCACATGGTCAGCTTGTTCCGATTTGCGTTGTGTTTCAGTTTTTACTATTAACAATTGTGGCATGGGACTTGCTTTTATACTTTTTGTCTGTCCCTTGGATGGCGAAGGATGAGTAGGTTGTGTGCATTGGTATTTGATGTCTGCATTTAGAACTTGAAACCAGTTTCAATTAATGGAAACTATGCATCTTGTTGTGACTTAACGTTGTTTTGTGGAAAAAGGTTCTTTTTGCAAGTTCTTGGCGTATTAACCCATTGTGGCGTATAACCCTTGAGATAAATAGAGAACGGACCATATATTATTTGGAAAACCAATTAAAAGGTTTAATATTGTTTAATTTCACTCCTTCTAAAAAAATGAAGTTAATGATAGTAGTAAGCCATTTTTTTTTTTTTTTTGTATTATGTAACTAAGTCAATGCGATTAATTCGATTCGCTAGAAAGTCTCCATTAAGTTTTGGTCTCAAATTAAAAATTCCAATTGATGCCCACATTTAAAGATGAAAAATCTATTAATTCATACCTAAAACAATTTAGCAAAGACAATAGTCGTGCGTGGCCGACCATGTTATACCTTACACAACTTTAAAATATTGAAAAGGCCTGTTAGGCTCAAATCCATTTTGGTCGATTTCTTTTTTTCCCCCAACACAGTAAAGGGTAAATTTTTCAAGAATAGTTGTTTTAAAGTCCAATAGACCAATAAGCGTAAATTTTTGAAAATTGTTTTTCAAGAATCCGTGATTTTTTAAAGTATTTTTTTTTAAAGAAAAACTGACCAATAAGCCTGTGCTTGTAAATATTTTTTCAATGTCCTGTGGATTTTTAAAGATTTTTTTCAAGGACCCGTGGATTTTGGAAGACTTTTTTCAAGGACTCGTGGATTTTTAAAGAATATTTTTCGAGGACCAACATACTAATAAGCGTGGGTGTGTACATTTTTTTTAAGGACACGTGGACTTTTAAAGAAAATTCTTTCAAGGACCAGTGGATTTTTAAAGAATATTTTTGAGGACCAACATACCAATGAGCGTGGGTGTGTAGAGAATATTTTTTCAAGGACCCGTAGACTTTTATAGAATGTTTTTTAAGGACCCTAGATTTTAAAACAATATTTGTTAAAGAACCTGTGGGTTTCCAAAGAACATTTTTTCAAGGAGTTGTGGATTTTTAAAGAATGAATTTCAACGACCAACAGACCAATAAGCGTGGATTTGTGAATGATCCATGGAGTTTTAAAGAATATTTTTTCGAATACCAACAGACCAATCGTGAATTTGCAAGGACATTATTTAAAAAACCCTTGCACTTTTAAACAATATTTTTTCAAGGACCTGTGAATTTTTAAAGAATGTTTTTTTAAGGGCCAGTGGATCAAGGATATGTGGATTTTTAAAGGATATTTTTCAAGGACCAAAGGGCCAGTAGGCGTGGGTTTGTAAATAATATTGTTTCACGGACCTGTGGAGTTTTTAAGGAGCATTTTTAAATCATTCGTGTATTTTTAAAGAAAATTTGTTCAAGGACCAACAGACCAATAATCGTCAATTTGTATAGGACCCGTGGATATTTAAAGACTATTTCTTTGTAGATTTATAACAAACATTTTATAAGGACCAGTTGATTTTTAAGGAACATTTTTTCAAGAAGCCGTGGATTTTTAAAAAAATAATTTTTGAAGAACCCGTGGATTTTTAAAAAAATATTTTTTCAAGGACTCGTAGACTGTAAAGACCAACAGATCCATAAACTTGGATTTGTAATAATAGGATGGATTTTTAAAGATCAATAAGCATGGCTATGTAAAGAATATTCTTTCAAGGACATGGGTATTTTTCAAGGACCAACAGATCCATATTCTTGAACTTGTAAAGAATATAAACGTAGATTTTTAAGGACCAATAAAACTGGATTTTTAAAGAATATTTTTTAATGACCTGTGGATTTGTAAAGAAAATTGTTTGAAGAACTCGTGGATTTTCAAGGAATATTTTTTCAAATAAGCCTGAATTTGTAAGGAAATTTTTTTCAAGGACCCTTGGATGTGTAACTCATATTTTTTCAAGGACCAATAAGCATGTATTTATAATGTATATATTTTTTAATTATCCGGAGATTTCAAAGACCCTCGAAAAAAACTAAAATCAGGAGGTATCTTTGAAATCAGAGATTAACCTTAAATAGGGTCCATACCGAAGAGTAGAAATATTGAGGTTCCTTTGGGTATGGTTAAGGCAATGTGAAGGATTGTATAGAAGCTTTGGTCGGAGAACTCCAAACCCAATTGGAATTTTGACCTCTCAACTGCTTTAAATTTGTAGAGTATAAAAGAAAGATTTTTTATAAACCACAATTATTGATCTTTTTAAGAGATGTGTTCCATAAAAAATTCATAAATTTTGGTATACACATTTTTTTTTGTTCAGAGACTGATATTGGAATTTAAACTAGAATATTTCTTCTTTTGACACTTTCCCCAAAAAATAACTTTATTTTGAAGTATTTTGTTATTAAATAAGCCGTAGAAAATGTAAACACATAATTTTAACTTGTAGTATATTCATTTCGAATGTGATTTCCTCGATAGTGAAATTTGGTGTAGAATATTTCCTCATTTGATTTTCTGTATAAATAGAAGTTGTATGCTACTTTCATCTGTTAACTCGAAAAAAAGTGGGGGAAAAATTTATCAAAATATAAGGAAATATTTTCTCTAATCTCATATACTTGATATATAATGGAAACAGAATTTCTATTATTTAGTTATGAATAAATATTTTTGTCTTTGACGTTATCCTTTTAAAATGTGGATTCACAGAAAAATTTTGCATAAACTCACATAAAGTGCGACTCAGACCTTAAAATATGTTTTTATAAATTCCTGGCGTTTAAGTTATATTTAAACTTTTCATGTATTCTGTGATTTTATATCAAATAATTTTGTAATTTTGCAATTCTGCAGAAATAGAGTTTTTAATAATTCTTTTAAAAATAGAACCTCCCAAAGGGTTAATTTGTTTAAAGATATTTTGCATACGGGAAACCCTTAAGCGGTACCATGCCAATCGAAGAATCCTTCAGTGATTTCTCCGTCTTTGATTCTGTAAATAAACTTGATTTTCCTCCAGTCACAACGTCATGTAGATTGTGGCATGCTTGCAAGCGAATGTAAATAGGCTTTGGATCTAAAAGCATTGTCATGTTGCAAGGTGGCATGTCTCTTGAAGCATTTACACTGGGCCCGAAAAGAAAATATAAATAAAAAGCCTTTTATTTATTATTTTACAAGTCATCAAGAATAATACGTCTTACCTTTCCATTTTCTTTAAAACGTCTTCTTTATATATTTCCAACATCCTTTATTTATTTAAGTTTTTTATTTTTAATTTACAATTAATTTGTTAATAGGTATGACTTGTCTGTAGCTCTCAGAGAATATCGGGTGACTGGTGTATTCCTTTTCTAGGAATGACTTGAAATTATTTTTCAAAATATCAAAAAAAGAAAAAGAAAAAGAACGTATTCCCCATTGCGATGTCACTGAACCGCTCCAGCTGCAAATGTGCATTTTCTAGAAGAAAAAAACAACAACAACTATTGGAAAAATGTCAGTTGGCAGTTTGCTGTTGGTTATTGCTGTTGGTTAACATTTACCCACATTTATTGGTGTAAATGATGACCAGGATGATGTTGATGACAACGATGTTGTAAGACTTGGAGTTCAATTCCCTTGGCCTCTCAGCGAGATAAAGCTTAACTCTCAATATGGTTATGGATCAATGTCCCCGTACCAAAATGACCACAATAGGAGGAATAACCTCTTGCTCCAACTGCTCCGATGACGTTCTTGGGGATGTAGGAAATTTACTATTGATTTATTTCGCACCAACCTATCTCTGTTGTTATCCAGGGATATCGATGAACTACTAACGACCGTATTGTGTGTGTGTGATTTTTTTTTCCAATTCATCACACGCTGCCGTTTGACAGATGCGACGCGCCTCTCTCTCCCTCGCTCGCTCGGTCGTTTTCATCCAGGTGGCATTGAGCTCAAATCGACGCAAATCTATTGTTTTCTGGTATTTTATTGTTTATATCGTCGTTTGACCTTGTTGCCTTGAACTTCATGAACTTCTTCGAGAGCTTAATGTTGTTTATTTCATGTCAAATGGCCGCACAAATAAATGACCCACCGAAAGACCGAGCGGTCATATGAGCCATATGCATATACCTGTGTCGTCGCACTCAAGGTGTGAATAATAAACGGACAGAATAATCCTTTTCATATGTTTGTCACCTGATTCTCTTGGTGTCTCGTAGGCAGTAAACAGCATCCTATGGGGATGAGGAAGTACAAAATGAAAGGCCAAAGAAAAAATCTTAGAAAGGGTAAAAAATGGAAATGATTTTTTTGACGGAGATACAAAAAATAATTTTTTTTGGAGATTGGGAATAATTGAATTTAAATTTTATGAAATTCATGGAGATTTATAATGGATTCCATAGTTGTAATTACTAGTATTAGAAGTTATAGTAAAGGTAGCTGCAAATAAATGAATTAGAAAATAATTAAACAGTTGTGGTTGTTACGGACAAATATTCTTGGTTTAGATTTAGGAGAATCCTGCCTTTAAAATGGCGCCCGAGCCG